CTCCGGTAAGATAAGGCCATTAGAAATACATGGATTAATAGTTATGGGTTAATAATTAAGAAAGAGCTAGCCAGTAAGAAGCCTTAGCCATTAGCCAAACAATTTATAAATAATAGAAGTCTCTGTGTGTTTATTTGGGGCAAAGTGGCTGTGGCACCAGGCGGGACAAAACCTCCACCTACAAGGAGCTTACAAAAGCTAGGCAAGAACTTTACCACTGAGCTATAGTGAAGCCCTTCCCACCAGAGGCTCTAAGTGTACATAGAATGTAGCATAACATGTCTCCTGCCAACTCCCACCCATGACAATGGAAAAAACCAGTGGTGCAGCTAAAACAAGAGTAAGAAGATTTCTGGCGCTTCTTCCTCACGATAACACAGTGTGCCGCACTTCTTGGCCTGTAGACAACTCAGCAAAAAGAAAACTTACTGCCACCAACAGGCAGATCTCTTGAGGTCTCATTGAGTGTTGTTCCCTGGGACTTCCCATGAAGGCCTGCCTCATACAGCTGTTGGCCATATTTGAAACATGGGGAACTGAATTTTAAATTTAATGTAAACCAATTTTAAAAACAGCAACATATGGCTAATTGTTACTATAATAGAAACCCCAGAAAGTGTTTCTTTCCCTACAGGGTCACAAAAGCCTCTTATATTTCCTAGAACATCAAAATTTATAAAGATTTACATCTTAAAATATCTAAACTCAATCTCTTTGTTAATTTTGATTTCAACTAAATGCAATTTCAGAGAAATTAAAAAGTAACATATTTTCTGCTAGCCCAGTAGTACAAACCTTTAATTCTAGCTGTACCAGAGACTGAGGCCGGAGAATGACCAAGGCCAAGCCTGCCAGAACTACAGGAACATTCAAGGCCAACCTCAGTCTGTCAATGAGACCCTGTTTCAAAATGAAAAAAAAAAAAAAAAAAAAAAAAAAACTAATAGTAGTGGTGGTCTGTGTCATGGTGTACATGTACAGATATGCACAAAAAAAAAACCATGCAATTAGTTTTTATCATTTTTAAAGGGGTAGACATGTAGGTCAGTGGTAGAATGAACACTTGTCAAACATGTACAAGGCCATGTTCAGCACCCATACCAGTATGCCTCCCTCTGAAAAAAACAAAACAAAACAACTTGCAGACCTTGTTATTTGGTATTTTGCAAACTTATTCTTTTGTTTGCTTTGTTTTTGTTTTTTGAGACAGGGTTTCTCTGTGTAATAGCACTGGCTGTCCTGGAACTCAGAGATCTGCTTGCCTCTGCCTCCTGAGTGCCGAGATTAAAGGTGTGCACCACCACACCCAAGCTGTCATTGTGGGGGAAACCTTTTACGTATGAACAAAAGCAAATATGCCACCATATAACATGAGCCTTTCTCTCTGTGACCCAGCTGTACCGCAGTGAGAAGTTTAGTGTTACAGGGTTCAGAGATCGCTGGTCCACATTACTTTACAAACCAATCTACCTGTCAGCTTCCACAGAGGGCAGGGGAGGGGAGGGGGAGGGAGAGACAAAGAGAGTCAGAGACAGAGAGAGACAGAGGGAGGGAGGGAGGGGAGACAGAAGCAGAGGGGGGGGAGAGGAGGGAGGGGAGGGGAGAGAAAGGGAGAGAGGGAAGGAGAAAGAAACAGAGAGGGAGGGGGAAGGAGGGGGAGGGAGGGGGAGAAAGAAGCAGAGAGAGACAGAGGGAGAGGGGGTGAATGGAGGGAGGGAAGGGGAGAGAAAGGGAGAGAAGGAAGGGGGGGAGAAAGAAACAGAGAGAGAGAGGGAGAGGGGGGGAGAGAGGGGGAGGGGAAAGAGAGGAAGGGAGAGAAGGAAGGGGGAGAAACAGAAAGAGAGAGACAGAGAGGGAGAGAGAGGGGAGAGAGAGAGAGACAGAGAGAGAGAGAGGGAGAGAGAGGGGAGAGAGGGGAGAGGGAGAGAGAGGGGGAGAGAGGGGGAGGGGAAGAGAGGAAGGGAGAGAAGGAAGGGGGAGAAACAGAAAGAGAGAGACAGACAGAGAGGGAGAGAGAGGGGAGAGGGAGAGAGGGAGAGACAGAGAGACAGAGAGGAAGAGAGAGGGGGAGAGGGAGAGAGAGAGAGAGAGAGAGACTATCCTGGAGAGCACTAAAGACCCCTGATGATCAGAGCACTTCATTTACTTGTTTAGCTACGCCTATCACATTCCAGGCAAGTTCTCTAACATACTCTCTCATCCCAAGCCCACAAAGTCTAATTTTAGAAAAATAAATTGGTACCGAAAACACAGATGCTACATTTCTATTCCCTATACTATAAAAGTGTTTATAAGAAGTTAGTCAGCCAGGCATTGGTGGCACATGCCTTTAATCCCAGCACTTGGGAGGCAGAAGCAGGTGGATCTCTGTCAACCTGGTCTACAGAGCAAGTTCCAGGGCAGGCTCCAAAGCCACAGAGAAATATTGTCTCCAAAACAAAAACAAAAACAAAAACAAACAAACAAAAAAAAACAAAAAATAAGATGTTAGTCATGGAGGCAGGACAGGTGGCTCAGCAGTTAAGAGTAATGGCTGCCTTTGCAGAGGACCCAGGTTCAATTCCCAGCACACACATGACAGCTCACAAACATCTGTAACTTTAGTCCCAGGGGATCTTATATTCTCTTCTGACCTCCACAGGTACCAGGTACGCACAAAGTACACAGAAATACATGCAGAAGTAACACCCATAGACATAAATAAAATGTTTTTAAAATGGTCATTAAAGCTGGGTAAAACAAAAACAAACAAACAGTGGCTCACAGAATCTCTGAGGTCAAACTCGGTGTATCTCAGGAAGGGCCCACATGTGGAAGTCTCACATCACTCCCCCAGGAACTGCATCGATGGGACACCCACCTTGAGGGTTTATCAAGGCAGCACTGTGGGTAATGTTCTTTAAGTGGCTTAGGACAGAATCAGTCAGTACTTGCTTACTTTATGTTAGCTACTATAATTACATCCAATATTTAACTACCAGCTGGGGACAGCTAGCCATGAGGGACTTCTGAGCAGGAAGTGAAGCAAAGGTTGTCTTCCCGGTCTCAGCCAGAGCAAGACTCCCCTCTATTTCCTTTTCTTAACACCTAGAGCCTGGGGACTAAAAAAATAAAATAATACAATAAAATAAAAAAGGCTGAAAATACATAGCCCCTGCACACAGATGTTTGGACCCCCTCCCTCCCTCCAAGCCCCACTAGGTTGATATGTCCTCCCCACAGGTCTGTGGGTGTGGGAGTAAATCACACATGTACTCAACCCAGCGGCTAGCATTATACAATCTGCATCTCCAAGGCAACCAGAAAGTTGTGTAAGCAGGGATGCCAGAGTGGTTAGACCAGCTTCCTGACTCCAGCAAAGAGAGAGGGAGCTGGGACGTGCTAAGGTACCAGAAGTCCAAAGGAGGTTTGATGTTGATGGAAGGAGAGAAACCTTAGTGCAAGTACAGAAGTCTGGTCATGGTAAGGGAGGTAACATGGGACTGAGTCATCTGGGAGTGTTAGGTAGCCAGTCAGGCTTAGAGAATGGACTCGCCCCTCCCATCATGAGTTTTGTGCTCCATCTCTTGTCTCCCTGGCAACAAATTTTTTTCTTTTAAAAAAAAGCCACCTCACACCACAAATGCAAGTGGATTTCTGAGTTCTAGTCCAGCCTGATCTACAGAGAGAGTTCTAGGACAGCTAGGTATACATGGAGAAACCTTGTCTAGGAAAAACAAAGAAAAGAAAAAGAAAGAAAGGAGGGAAGAAAGAGAGAGAGGGAGGGAAGTATTGGAGAGAGAGAGAGAGAGAAGCATTGGAGAGAGAGAGAGAGAGAGAGAGAGAGAGAGAGAGAGAGAGAGAGAGAGAGAGAAGCATTAGCTGGTAGGTGGTGGCTCATGCCTTTAGTCCTTGCACTCTGGAAGATAGAGGCAGGCAGATCTTTGTGAGTTCGAGGCCAGCCTGATCTACAGATAGTTCTAGGACAGGCTCCAAAGCCACAGAAAAACCTTGTCTTAAAAAAAAAAAAAAGAGTACCATATGCAAGGGAGGAAACTAGAGACTGGTGGCCTTTGTTGAGGTCCCCCAAAAGAAAGTATTTCCTCCCAGTAAAGCATGGTTCTTAAGAGTTGATCCAACTGGACCTGTTAGTCACCTAGCCAGGAGACCACCTCTCAGCAAGGCTGATATACCTGAAGAGTTGTTATGATAATGGTAGGAATACTTGTCATTTAATGAGATAAGTACACATAGATCCCAGAAGCCCTTTCCTGAAGGCAGATGCTTAAATGTCTTCACTAAGCCTGCCCACTTTTCCGAGCTAATCATGCTTGTCCCCGACCTTCTGAACACTGTACAGCCCCTCCCTCCATACAGCTGCTTGCAGAGTTTTCATTGCTGAGCTTGTGTTGACCCTAACTCAATGGGCACTTTCCTCTCCACCTCCTGCCTTCCATCAGCTACAGCGATTATAGCTTGCCTGCTCAGTTTTCTCTCAAACTCCAACAACATGGTTCCCGAGCTTTAAACTGTTTCTGTCACTGAGACTACGAGATCCCCTGGTACCAGGAAAACGAGCTGTAGTCCTGCTCTAGAGCGGTGAAGGCAATAGGGTTGGAGTTGGGGGGGGGGGGAGGACCAAATCCACCCTGGCACTAGGAGAAAGGCACCGCAGCTGGTGCAAGTGCGGAGGATCGGGACGAGGAAGAGAAATAGGATGTGTATTCCACTCAGTCCTCACTCTATCCCTGGGCTTAAGGAAGCTGGCAGCTAGCACGCCAGTGGGGAGACCGGGCTTGGGGACATCTCACCCCCACCCCACCCCCGCGCACCTTAAAGAGAGAGCGGGAAAATGGAACAGGAAAGGAGGTTTATATTTCGGACCCATCTCCATTCACCCTTGCGATGCTGGGGTGGAGGGGCTGGCCTCGGAAAGTGGGGGCAGGTGGCCAGGTCGTGGGAGGCTGCCACCCCTCTCCTAACAGCGCAGCCACCTTCACCTTGCTTCCCGCCTCGCTCACCTGACTGACCTCAGAAGCCCGGGTCCAGCAGCCGGATCACCGCCCTCCGTTCTTAGGACCCCGCACCTGCGCACTCCCAGCTCTCGGCGATAGGCTTGACTCCTTAAAGGCGCAACGCGCCCGCTCGCGTCCTCCGACAAAAAAAAAAAAAAAAAAAAAAAAAAACCAAGCCAGCCCGCAACGGCGTTGTGTCTCAGCAGCCTGGTTTGGTCCGGGGAACGCTGAACCGCTACCTTGAGCTAATTCATTTTCCCAGCTCAAAACATTAAATAAACTTGGCAGTTCAGCCCCTTACCAGCAACTCGCCTCCAACAACCGTGAACCTAAGGCTCGAATCACCCCAATAAAGAGTGCTCAAGGGCTGGCATTAGGGAGCAAATGCCACTTTGCCAGGCGAAGCCACAGTTCACAGGGCACCGTTTCGTTTACTACACATCAACTGTGTCTGTCGCTTCTGAGCCTTTCACCCAACAAAAGATTGAAGCAGGATCTTAACCCTGAGAGTTTAGGGGCTCTTTGGAATTCCAAAGTAAGACTTGGCTACTGAGCTAAAGGGTGGGATGGAGGGGTGAGAGCCTAGCGTTTAACATCTGGAACTAGAAAAACTTTCTGAAAAGAATCTTGTCTTCCTTCGTAGGAGCAAGCAAGGTGTGGCCTGGGTGATCTTCCTGTTCCAGTCTCAGTTAAGATATCATTCCAGGAGCACAGCGCTTGGGAGGCAGAGGCAGGGGGATCAACTGCAAGCCTGGTCTACAAAGCGAGTTTCCTGGAAATCTCTCTCTCTCTCTCTCTCTCTCTCTCTCTCTCTCTCTCTCTCTCTCTCTCTCTCTCTCTCTCTCTCTCTCTCTCTCTCACACACACACACAGAGCACATCCCACCAGGTTCTGCAGCAAGTAGAACTTGACTAAGTTGATCATGTCTTAGCTTCTAAGAACGAACAAGAAGCTCCAGAAGTTCCAGGTGGAGATCTCTGAAGGCACATGCCCCCATCTGAGAAATTTTTCTGGATCAAGCTTCTGAAACATATCCAAAGTCTGGAACTAGGTTTCTGGCTCTGGCTGGATCATCATCATGCCAGATGTTGGCTACCTCATCACTCAGGCCTCAAGGGCTGCATCTGACTCACTGCAGGGTATTGTTTCCCCAAATTCTGTGGCTAATCATCTATCAAAAGTATGTGGCTTAGACAATTTGCTGTGGCCTTCTTTCTTCTCACTGAGTCAAATTTTTACCTTTTCATCCCACCCTCCCACAATGGCCTCACAATAGACCCAGGCAAAGAACCCAAATGAGCTAGCTACCCTGGTTTCCCCAGTGGCCACTTACTGTAGACCCTGCAGCCTTGGAATCTGGGAGCATTTACCAAACAGATGCTGAGGGGTGATTTCAGGATTTAATTAATGAAGGGATGAAACCGATGAACAAGTAACATCTTAGAAGGCCCATTCTGGAAGCCATCTGCAACTTTTACATATGTACTTGAAAGTAGTTGTTTTTTAAATATCTTAAATTTTCCTGCTCATTACCTTAAAAATGGGGTTGGGATGCAGGTCAGTAATAGAGTGACATATACAGAGACCTCACAGGTTTAGAGGCACATTTCTTTAGTCTCAGCACTAGAGAGGCAGTGGCACGTGGATCGCTATGAGTTCCAGGCCAACCAGAGGTATACAATAGGTATATAATGAGTCTCAGAATGTTGTGGAGGGGGGGTGAGGTGGGGCATGAGGCCTTGGGTTTAGCCCCTAGAATGTCAAAAACAAACAAAAACTTAAAAACGAGTAGCTATTCCTCCTTTATTTGTATCCTGTGGTACTAAGCCTCCAAGGCCCTGAAGTTTCTGTACTCTTCCCTCAGTTTTATTATGTGGACATACTTAACTGAAGTTCAGAGGCAAGTCACATTCTTGGTGACTCTTCATAGGATGACTGACAAGAGAGGAGCCTTAATTACCACAGTCTTACAGTGAAGCCAAAAACACAGGGGAAAAAAAAATGAAGAAATCCCCCAATACCTTGCCTCCCCCACCCCCCAATCCCACCAAGTCTATGACTCTCTGAACACTATCAGTGAGTCAGGAACAGGTGATTAGGGCAGTCCCCAGAGTTTCCTTCTCTCCCGACTGAACAGAAACTCCTTATCAGCTGTCAGGTCTTACCCCAGCTTTAGCAAAGAGTTTTGAAAACTCTTGGCACAGTGTCTCAGGCTCTGTCCCATGACAAGTCTATAGATCATCAGTCAGAGATGAATGGTACCTACAGGGGCTGCTGCTTAATGCTTGTTTGTTCTGCAGTCACTGGGCATCAAGTCATGTAATCCTCATGACCAAGCCACACACCATATTACAGAGAGATTATGCGATAGATCCCAGAGCCAACTCATAGCAGAGCCAGAAGTTAAAGCATTCATTTACTTACTAATTCATCAAACCTTACTACAAATTTATCAGATGCTAGGAACTCTCTTGATGACAAGTCAGACTGTTTGGTTTGAGTTTTTAAAAGACATTTAAGGGTTGAGTGTGTATGTGTGTATAAGCACACACCTCTATGGCATGTGTGTGGAAATCAGAGGATAACTTATAGGAGTCTCCCCCCCCCCTTTCATTAAGAGTCCTGAGACTAGAATTCAGGTCATCAGACTTGGCAGCCACCATAACAATAGCTAGCCATCTTGTGGGCCCAAGATGCACTAAGTTGTCCTTAAGTTGTAGAGATTAATGTTATTCTCTATTTGACTGAATCTATAATCACATAGGAAACAAATAGCTGGGCATGTCTTTGCAGAATTTTCTAGATAGGATGGTGAAGTGAATATGGGTGGCGCCATTCCATGGTCTGGGGCTCCAGACTGAATATAAAGGAGACAGTGAGCCCAACACCAGCATCCACCTCTCTGTGCTTTGTGGCTGCAGAGGCAAGATGACCAGCTGCCCCACATCCCTCCTCCCATGCTTTCCTCTCTGTGTAGTCCCCTGCATCCTCTGTCATCCTGTGTCATCTCACATGGTAAGCCCAAAGAAACCCTACCTCCCTTGAGTTTCTCCTTGTCGTGTATTTGATCCCAGCAAATACAGACTAATACAGGGTCTGTTTATAAGAAGAAAACAATGGAGATTGCTTAATCAGAGAATCACACAAAGGCCATGCATAACATGGAAGTGTTGCAAGAGAAAAACATAACACAGAAGATTCCACATGGACCCAGATGCCAGCTGAATGAACTCCAAGTCTTATAAAGCATTTGCATGATTCCCACCCCCAGTATATCTTCATGGCACCTACTATAGTCACACAGCCAGCCAGCAATATAGTCATAATGAACAGCTGTGCATGTCTGAGCACAGTTTGTGTGGAAACCATTAAGCTACCTGCTTCTGAAACTAGTAACAGAATTAAATATGAAGGATGTGGCATGTGGAAAATTCTAACCCTAAATATTCAGCAATCCATAACACACTAGTATTTCTAAGCTACGAATCAACAACTCCCCCCAAGACCCCAACAACAAAACCCTTTCCAATTGTCCCAAAATATCTGTTAATTCATTTATTTATAAATTAAATATCACTAACCTTCCAATTCTGCATAGAAGTCCAGGTATGAAAGATTCACTCTCATTCCTTCCTTCAAGGAGAATGTCCCTCTGAGTCTAAACGGCAGGGTTTGTGGAGGTGCATAGCAAGCCCTGTCTCAAACAGAAAGAAAACGTTAAAAAACCCAAACCAGACAAGTCACTGTGCCAATCTGCAGCATATGAGCCCAGATTAACTAAAGTGCACATGAAGTGTGTGTGTGTGTGTGTGTGTGTGTGTGTACGTGTGTGTTCCTGTGGGCACATGTGTGATGTGTGTCAAGTTGCCCATGTGGAAGCCAGAGGACTACCTCAACTTTTGGCCATTCACTATGTACTTTGTTCTGTACAGTCTCCTGCTATTCCCTGCTGTGTAGACCAGGCCAACTGGCCCACAGGCTTCTGGGAATTCTCCTGTTTCCACATGGACCCAGGAGCTGTTATAGATACACGCTACTGCACCCTCTCCCTTCTTTTAGATTTATTATATATACAGTGTATGTACACCTGCACACCAGAAGAGGGCACCAGATCTCATTATAGATGGTTGTGAACCACCATGTGGTTGCTGGGAATTGAACCCAGGACCTCTTAACTACTGAGCTCTCTCTCTCTCTAGCCCCTGGTTTGTTGGTTTTTAATGTGGGTCCTAGGGATCCAAATTCCGGTCTTTACATATGTACAGAAAGTGCTTTATCCCCTAAGCATGTCCTCCGCACCTGTAAACCCATCATTCTTTTATTATTTTTAAAACAAACAGGGTTTCTGTAACAGTCCTGGCTGTCCAGGAACTCACTTTGTAGACTAGGCTGGCCTAGAACTAATTAAGCTCCTCCTGCCTCTGCCTCGGCCTCTGCCTTCCAAGTGCCCAGCTTAAACTCACCATCATTCTTACTGTATTGTGTTCATTTGTGGAAAGTGCCAGTGGAGCCCAGCACTAGTCATGGAGATCTGCAAAGTTTGACCTCAGAGGGACCTTTGAGAGACCCCTGTCTAAAGCTTAAACTCTCCAAGCACCTGAGTGGAAGCTGGAAGATGATGGAAGTCCCCCCCCCCCCAATATTAGCCTGGACCTTAAGGAGAAGCAAATGAGACTAAACCCCAAAATTGCTGGGATTCAAATATTAACAACAAGAAAAGGTTGATTTAAGCTCAGATTGAATTAAAAGAAGAATTTTAAAAAGCAAGTAAGCATATGGGATGCCAGCAGATGGAGAAGGGTGGCAAAGGGGCCAGTTTCCTAATTTAGGTCTTCACCATGAGAAAGAGCTTCTGGATAAACAGCCCCCAAGGGGAACTGAGCTCAGCAGAGAATGAAATGTACCCAATAATGCAACTGAGTTCAAGTGACCAGATCAAGAGAGGTGACCACCCAGTGTACCAAACAGAAACATTTCCATGGTCTTCAATAATCTATGCTAGCAGCCCTTCATGACTAAGCAAGCATCCCACTTCAAACAGGATAGAGAGACATGCTGGTCTAGGAACCTCAAGGCAAGACACTGATTTCTAACAAAGGGCTGCACCTGGTTACTGAAGGAAGCCAGAAGA